GCTTGAATGCACACATACATTCTTAAGAATCTTCTTTTTCCTTGTTCCAAAGCCTCTCTAGATATATTTATGATAACATCAGTACCAGGGTTGCTGTCCCTCAATTCTTGAGCATAACCCTCAAACTTATTGAATTCATCAATGTAGCTACCCTCCAATTTCTCTAACACAAGCCTTTTAACCCTCTTCATCTTAGAATAACTAATGTTCAAATTAAAATTATCATCCAAATCTTGTCTCATATCATTTACACTGTACTTTGGATTATTCTGAAGTTTTTTCTTGAAATAGTGTGCTAAAGCTTCCTGAGTGGCTCTTCTATTCTTAAAAGCGTTTTCACCACATGAGTGTTTGGTGTTCAAGGTTTTAATTTTGAATCCCTGATTTTTCCTATCTTCAGATATCAAACACTCAAATGGACAACCAGTATCACACAAGTATCTCAATCTTGTAGAGTTCACTTTTTTTCAACTTTAAGTGCAACCTTTCTAACAATAAAGTAAAAACTCACAATTCTTTTAACTTCTTTAAGATCTTTAAAGCACATACCATTTTCCAACTCTAAGAATCTGTCTAGCTTGTCATTGATCTCTCTGTTTTTTCCTTTCTAAAGACTTTCAATTCATCACTATTGTAATCACTAGGAATAGGTTCATATGACTAACAGCATCCAGTAGCCCCTATAACAATAAAAATCATAACAAGTTAAAGTATTATTTGTATAAGAATTTAACTAAAAATAAAAAAACAACTACCTTATGTATATCAGACATGAATGTTACTCCTTCACCATCTGCCAGGTCTAGAGAATTTCTCAGCAACTCAATAAACCATTTCCATGTTCTAGATGCCTCTCTGTCCACCACTGCCCAAGCAAGTGGATAAAAGTGTTTCGATGAATCTTGTCCCATTGCAACCAATAAGATTTCCTTGCATTTTCCTTTTAAAAAAGTCCCATCTAGCCCTATAAAAGGCCTCAAACCTCCTTTCCAGCCATTTTTTAAAGCTTGAATGCACACATACATTCTTAAGAATCTTCTTTTTCCTTGTTCCAAAGCCTCTCTAGATATATTTATGATAACATCAGTACCATGGTTGTTGTCTCTCAATTCTTGAGCATAACCCTCCAACTTATTGAATTCATCAATGTAGCTAACCTCCAATTTCTCTAACACAAGCCTTTTAACCCTCTTCATCTTAGAATAACTAATGTTCAAATTAAAATTATCATCCAAATCTTGTCTCATATCATTTACACTGTACTTTGGATTATTCTGAAGTTTTTTCTTGAAATAGTGTGCTAAAGCTTCCTGAGTGGCTCTTCTATTCTTAAAAGCGTTTTCACCACATGAGTGTTTGGTGTTCAAGGTTTTAATTTTGAATCCCTGATTTTTCCTATCTTCAGATATCAAACACTCAAATGGACAACCAGTATCACACAAGTATCTCAATCTTGTAGAGTCACTTTTTTCAACTTTAAGTGCAACCTTTCTAACAATAAAGTAAAAACTCACAATTCTTTTAACTTCTTTAAGATCTTTAAAGCACATACCATTTTCCAACTCTAAGAATCTGTCTAGCTTGTCATTGATTGTTTTTTTCCTTTCTAAAGACTTCTAATTCATCACTATTGTAATCACTAGGAATAGGTTCATTCTGATCCTCTTCCTCCTCATTTGATTCACAATCAGTTGCTACCTCTACTGGCACAGCAGGGTAAGGCTTGTTCAGGTCACAAATATTAGGAATAACAACAGTAGCTTCACCCTCATCTACAGCAAATAATTGAAGAACACTAAACTGACTAGACAGAGCAGATTGTAGAGTCCTAATGCTTGAATCATCCTCAAGCAAATAATATCTACCAGTTGGCCCTGTTACTAACAGTTGTTTCACAACCCTAAACCCACATTTCTCAATGAACTCTGAGCAAATGTCAATATATGACAGCAAATCCACATCATAACCATGCCAGGTTTTATTCAATTTTTTAATGTATACAACTTTAGGAGAAAGGACCCACTTGCCCCCATAGTTAAATACTAAATCCACTTTTTCGGTCATTCTTCAAATTTTTCACATGGCAGACAAAAAAAGTGAAAAGGAATTGTCAGCCATAAACAAAACAAGTTATAGGAAAACTAACATTATTTAATTTGAAGATAAAGGTAATAAAGTTATAGGGACCACTAACATTATTTATTTCAATTTCACATAGAATACAACACTAAAACAACAAAAAAGTGCACAAATTGGAAACAATAAAGTCATACACATACCAGTCACACACATACCTAACTCGAGAAAACAATCTATAAAACATGTAATATAAAAGCAATAAATGGCCCTAACATCAGAAAACAATGTATAATGTCAACACTACACAAACTTCACAACACTATAGTACAATAGACCAAATGCAATAAAAAATTGAATAAAGCTAAACCCTAACTATTTACGAAATACATTTAATCGAACAATCATTACACAATATTTATGAAAATTATTAAGAGTAAGTCTTCGGTTCTTACTTTATCGGAGTAGCAAATCGATTTCTTCACTTTTTACTTGAACATCGCGGTAGATCCAAGAACTAATGAAGTTGGGGGGAAATGTTTAGGGTTTAGTTTAAAGAAATGGGTAATGGGTGTTTTATTTGGATAGGTTGGGTATTTTGAAATGGGTCGGGTGGATCCGGGTGGATAGGGTGGTTTGGGTCAAACAAATTAGGCTTTAATTAATTAAATTTCCAACCAATTACAACATGCCACGTAATAAATGAAATAATTAAATATATTTACTAAGTAGTCTGTTAGTCAAAAGGGCAAAATAGGTCCCTAAAGGTTAACCCAAAGGGTATTTTGAGGCCAAAAGGTAAACGAAGGGTACTTTTGTACAAATTCTGATACTATAAGGGTATTTTAGACCCTTTTCCGTTTTATCAATTGACAAAATAAAAAAAAGATCCAAGCCAATGGCCAGGAGCAAAAATAAAAAGCGTAAAAACAAAAGAATAATTACCTTACTACACATCATTTTTTACCTTATTTTCTATTATTCTCTACCATTCCAACAAAATTACAAAACTCCCTCTTTTTTATAATTTCTCTCACTTTTCCGAATACATCATTTAAACGATCACCCCAAGATTTATTTTCCTTTTTTCACTCCTGAAATCACTCCATGCTATCACCAATTATCTCTGTCACTCTATTTTTGAATTTCAAATCTTTTTTCTTTCCGATTTCTCAAATTGAAGAGATAATTCTTCTTCATCCATTTTTTTCTTTCCACTTCATCATGTATCGATTTATTTATTTTTAATTTATTTAGCATTTTCATCTACAAATTTAGTCGAAGAAGGATGTATCTTCAACTTCAAAATCAATTCTGGAAAAAATGCCCAAAAAGGGGGTAAAAAGTCGAGTTATTGGTGGCTCTGGTAAGAGCTTTGGGTCAAGATTCATGGGTGATGCCATTGTTGAAAGTGAAAAAAACTACGGGAGTTAATACAGAGCAAAAGAGAAAGTGCAGAAGGATTTCTTCATCATTTTTTTTTTTGCTTTCAGCAATTCAAATTGTTGACTTTTTTTTATCTTTCGTTGTTCCTCTTTTTCTGATACATATGGTTCAATATTTTAATGGATCTAGTTGTTTTTGTTTCTTAAATTAATGTATAATGCATTCGTTTCAACATTATGATACATTACAATTTTATCAAGAGTTGTTGGTGGCTCTGGTAAGGACTTTGGGTCGACATCCATGGGTGACGTCATCATTGAAAGTGAAAAAAAAACTGCAAAAATTGTTACAGAACAAAGGAGAAAGTGTGGAAGAATTTCTTCATTAATATTGTTTTTGCTTTTAGCAGACAAATTGTTGAATTTTTTTTATTGTATTGCTTTCACTAGATCTTTTAATATATCTAGTTGATTTTGATTATTAAATTTATTATAATATGTTCGTTTCACCTTTATGATACATTGCAATTTTATCATGTATAATATATCATTTTCAAATATTAGTTTTGATATATAATCCTAATTTATTGAAACATAAATGAGTATATATCATGTTCATAGTTATGTATTGGATACACAAATATTACAAAATTCGTTATCTTTTACTACCGATACACCAGTCTTATTCAACTAGTAGAAGGTTATGTATTTGTATACACTATCAAATAGTAATGTTGATATATAAACACTAACTTTTATAACAAAACTAGTTTATATCATAATCATAGTTATGTATATGACACATAACAAAGTTATGTATCACATGTTGTTAAGTATCTGCAACACTGTTTTATAAATAAATCAATGTATATCATATTCATATATAATTTTTTTGTATATGATACAAATATAAAATTGTTGACTTTTTTTTGAATCTGTTACGATTTGGGAGAGATTTAAGAGAAGAAAATTTGAAATTTGAATTGTTTAGAGATGTTATTTGAGAGAGATTGACATCAATTTGATTTACATGATTTAGGATACTGGCATTTACTCTATATTTAATTTCTTTTTTAATCTCAACAAACTAGTTGTATTATGTATCAAAGCTCATCACA